GAAAGCCCAATTTTATCTGCCCAAGATATAAATCAGATAAATTATTCAAGACAGAACCAGAGGTATATGGACAGAAGAATATATTTGAGATGATACAAAAATATTCCGTGGAGTCCATATACAAAACATGTGCACATGGAGGTGACATGGCCACCTCATGGCATTGTTGGGGATGCATGCATGTACTCCCCTTTAAATACAAGGCTACGCAGGATGGAAGGGGAGAGGCCAAGGCTAGATTCTTCTTTTAGCTTGGAGCTCCATTAATGACTCCAAGTTCCTACAATGATGTATATGTAAACTCCCCCGAGATTAATAAAAGTTCCTCCCCCTTTGGCATGAGACCGCCTAAAAAAGCCCGTGGTTTTCTCCCGATTTGGGTTTCCACGTATAAATACTTTCTCTCCGCTTTATTTATTTACTTAATTTTCGGATTTCGCTATTCGGTGCGGTGCCGATCCGGTACCGATTTCATCGGGTCGACGCCCCAAAAAAGCGGTTTCCATCACTACTTGTTGTAGATAATTTTTCTAAAAAATAAGAAGTGATATGTTAATACTTTAATTTGTATAAAGCGTAAAATATTAATACCCACCCGTATATTTTTATTTTACTTTTAACAATTTCAAGTTAGTTTCCATTGATTACCTTATTTATTTTATTATTTTTGTATCATTTTAGTTACATTTCTCATTTTTTCATATTTTATATCTATTATTTTTATTTTTTAAACTAAGACTAATCTTCAAAAAGGAAAAAGAAATGATGATGGAGGTAGAAAGTAATTTAAAAAATTTAAATGAAAAATTTCGAAAAAATAAAAAAATACAAAAATTTATCAAAAATAATCCCAACTTTCATTTTGTTGCCTAAAATGGGCATTTCCATTAACCCTCCGTTAGAAATTTAACGATGACCCAAAACTAGCAAATTTGAGTAAAGTTGGGATTATTATGAATCACAGTGAAAGATGGAATTATTTTTGATGCCTCGTACGTTGGTTAACTCGCATTCCTACACATTATCCTCATACATTGGTAGCCACAGAAAACATTAAAAATCCAAAGAGAAATGTTGAAAAATTTATTTGTAGACTCACCATTATCATTATTATGATTTTTTTTTGTGAGAAAACAAAACTTGATTTGATATTTAGATATTTTTAAAGAAAATTTCTTTCTTATCCCAAATCTCTCCTACTTACGTCCAATTTGTAATTAACATGTTTATTCACAAATTTTAATACTCCGTAACAAACTTGTAATTGAGGAACTCAGGCCCCGTTCCGTTCAACTTATTTTTTCTTATTCTTATTAAAATCAGATTAGATCAGATCAAATCAGACCAGATCAGATCAGATCTTATCAGATAAGATCAGATCCAATCAGATCAGATCCAATGAGATCAGATCTGATCAGGACTTATTAAAATCAGATCTCATCAAGAATTATTATTATTATTATTATTATTATTATTATTATTATTATTATTATTATTATTATTCTTATTATTGTTCTTAAAAATGAAAAAGAATAAACTTTAGAAATAGGTTAAATAGAAAACTTAGAAAGTAATCTTTAATTATTAGACGTCGAAAAAATTAGTTTTAAAATACATTGACACTGTCAATCTAATTCTACTTTTAAAATATATTTTTTTTGCTACTTGTAATTTGAGTTTCTAAACTTTTGATCTTTTATAAGGATGAGATATTTTAATAAAAATACTATCTCTTCTATAAATTGATTATCTAAATTTAATTACTTTTTAATGTATATCTAAATTAAATATTTATTCTAATGTATAATTCTTATTTTACAAAAAAGTATCATAAAATAAAAAATATTATTACATTATAATATGAATGATTATTCTAATATATGAATTAACTATTTTTATTTTATTAAAAAATAATCATTAAATAAAAAATATTGATTACTCCCTCCGTCTCACTCTCTTTGTCCACTTACCTTTTGGCACACCATCCAATGCACTTTTTTAATCCATTTTATCTTGTAATTTGTATATTAAAAATTATAGAAATTATATATTAATAGTCTATATGTTAAGACAAATCAAACAAGATCACATATGACTATATTTAGGCTTACACATTGAGAGAATTTGATGTGTCAAAGTGCTTAGATGAACAGTTCCAAAAGTTATAAGTGGACAAAGAAAGTGGGACGGAGGTAATATATTATAATATGAATCATCATTACAATTTTCAAACGTTATTATAAAGTCAAATTAAATTATTGATTTGAAATTTTTAAATTAAATCATAACTAATTATATCAGACCAGATCAGATCGGATCCAATCAGATCAGATCAGATCAGATCAGATCCAATCAGATCAGATCATATCAGACCAGATCAGATCAGAACTTATTAGAATCAAATCAGATCAGAAAAAATAAGTTGAACGGAACGGAGCCTCAATCTGCAACTAATGAAACTCTCCTAGGTATAGGTAAATCTTTAAATTAATTTACCACTTTGTTTCAATTTAAACATTGACTTTAATTACGTAAGCTCAAGTGGAGTGCAATGATTCATGTCAAGTTCATATACTCTAGCATCTTCACAATTCTAGGCAAGCAAACGAGCTCCTTAGAAGTTGTTCGGAATTTTTTTAGAGTAAATTTCATGATTGGTCCTTTATAACAAAGAGGTTTTCGTATTTAATCCTCTATTATCAAATATTACCATGTAATCCTTTTTTTAAGGGTACCTTTCCACAAATGGTCCTTTTTTGATCTTCTGTCGTGTTGGTGTTAATTTAAAGGCTAAAAGTATAATTTGACATCAACATTATGTCTAGTAATGTATTCTGATATTGGTTAAGCGGATAACAAAAAAATGATGACTATGATTGTGGGATAGGATTCTGACGAAAGATCACATTTGTAGACTATAGTTGTCGTAAAAAGCGACTGTAATTCACAAACAACGCTAACGGAACAACCTTTAGAATTTTGTATGACAAAGAAGATATATTATCATTGTGAAATTACACTTTTAGCCCTCAAATTAACACCAACATGGTAGAAAATAAAAAAATGACTATTTGTGGAAAGTTACCCATAAAAGAAGGACCACTAAAGTAATATTTGATAATAGAGGACTAAATAGGGAAACTCCTTTGTTATAAAGGACGAATTATAGAATTTACTCTTTTTTATGCAGAATGTTCTTGTATATTAAGGTCCGAAATAGTTTTTTCCACACACTATCCAAGCACAAATAATTTCCATTTTTCCTAGAGTTTTTTTTTCTTAGTCAAAATGTATTGTATTTTAGGTTTACCTTTAATTTTGATGATAAGACATCATATCTGTTAGAATATAAATAAATGTTCCTGGCCACAACCACAAGCTTGAGCTTTTGGTTGAGTTGGTTCCTTGACATGGTATCAGAGCCATGGTATCGGAACAAGTTTTGGCCCACCTCATTTGTCAGGACGTGTAGATGTTCATTTCTAGCGGCCCGTTTGTCTTTAGCCCAGTTGTCCGTATGGAGTATGTAACCAACGGCCTGTGGCCCGTTTAACACGATTGCTCGTCTGGAAGTCCATACCCAGCGACTCGTGGTCCTTTAGGTGTATGTTGGCGCTAAAAAAAATCAAGGGAATGAGAGTTCATTTGCAAGTGACCTCTGGCGCGAGCCAGCGGGGGCCTCATCCCCCTGTATTGTGAGAACTTTAGAGTTATAAGTGTGGGTTTGGGCGAGAGTTTGGATTCCATTACTCTCGTAAGTATAAATTGAATTATATTTAGCAGGCAGGTTGGTATCAGAATGCATAAGAACTAAAGTGAATTATAAGGGTAACCAGTGGTATAGGTGGATAATGAAATTTGCCGACTCATCTGATATTGTTTGATTATATATCAATGGGTACTAGTCTATGAGTAGGTTTTAGCGTAAGATACATCCACTCTCCCTATTTTTTGCAGGTAGGGATCAAGGATTTGACGAGAAACAACCTGGAGGATAGTGAAGCGTAACACTGATGGATGGCCGAAGCTGTTTTATTTTAATTAAATATAGTTTGTTGAATTTGTTTATTGAAATTACTAGAATGTAGAATGTTGTTTTCGTAGGCTTTCGCAACGTTTCAGTTATTTAATCCGATTAAATGATGAATTGTTTTTCAATAAATATGAATGTTTGTTTTATTACTTAGTATTCTCAAAATATTTTGCACGTGAATACCAAATTAGTAACAACGTGATTCGGTAACTCATTGGTTCGGATTACGCTGGTTGGGGTGTTAAAAAATCAATTGGAATTGGAGAATTCAATTCTGCTTAAATGAATCCTCCAAAATTTTATCTCTCAAATCAATTTCATTTTTATCAATTCCGTGTACCAAACGGACCATAAGAGTATACTACTCTGTATTTTTTTTTTAGAATTGTAATTTTGAGCCGTAATGTATCTTTTAATTTCTATAACAATTTATAAATAAAATAATTTTAAATGAAATAAAAATTTGCACATTCCTTGAAACAAGAAGAAATATTTGAGACCTGAAAAGTATTCTCTAGACCATCCCAAGTCTATTTCAGCCCAAGTCCCCCTCCATCCACAAGACCAGGGAATGCATCTCCCAGGGTAGCATGGTTTCATCATCATCAGACCAGTTGGGCGATCACACCACAAAGGAACCAAAATAAAATTTCTTACAACTCCCTAAAAACACTCCCCACTTGGGCATTACTCAAAGAACACACACACACACACACACACACACACACACACACACACACACACACACCAAGAGGAGGCATGATGATGGGGTTTTCAAAGGCAGGCGCGCAAAGAAATGTATAGTGAATAATTAAAATACATCACAACAGTTCAATTAAACCATTAGACGGTGCTCAAATCAACTAAAATTAGATCATAGTATAATTTAATATATATATATATATATATATATATATATATATATATAGATATATATATATATATATATATATATATATATATATATATAAAATCATGTATCAATGCAAACCCTCCACTCACTGCTAAGAGTATTGCTCATAGTACCGCATGTACATGAAGCCCGCGTCATAAAGTTCCCGACCAATCTCTTGACGCAGCAGATTGGAGCCGCCAAGGAAAGGAGGAGGAGCTTGAGATTCCAAGAGTTGACAAGCGTCGATGGATCGAATGCGACCATCTTCACCAAATGCAACAACAGCCTCGTGCGGGTAGTAGCGAGGATGAAAGAGTTCTTTGCAGAGTTTAGCCGACTTGGACGGGTCTGCACGGCATACCCACCACCCCTTGTCCATGAAGCATTCCTCACAAGTGTCGCCGCCATCTATGCTCACCGCAACCACCTCAACATTTCGATACATCATTGCAGCATTCTTCTTTTCATCATCATACCCCCCCATGAGCAGAGTCAATTTAACAGCTAGATCTTGCTCTTCCTCTTCGTACAGATAAAGAAGAACGACCTTGTTGTTCAGCGCTTCTTCCACACGAGTCTCAACGGTCCCGCCGACCTCACCACCCCTGCGACAAACACATCCCCAAGGAAGTAGCAATGAGCTCAATCTCAGTCCCATTAACCTTTGAAATTCCTTCTCAACCACACTCTTCCTGGTGAAGGGATACCAGTCCATGCCCAACTCACAGATGATTGGTAACCCATAGCGATCCACAAACTTCTCAACAGGATCCACTATGTAAAAACCTTCGTCCAAATGGATACTGTCATGCATTTCACTTAGCATTCGGGATACGGTGTTGTTGAAGGGAAAGAGCCACAATCCACCTAGCAGATTGAGACTTGTAAGAGCATCCATGACCAACTCCCAGTGCAGATTCGGGGGCACCCCCCAATAGGGACAGCTCGCCACCACAATCTCAAGCTCATTCTTTTTCCGTCTACATTCCTCCGCAACCTCCCTAACCTTCTTTAGACTTCTACAATCAAAGCACACGTAAATCCCCACAAACCTGTGTTTAAGTTCTGAAATAGTAATACAAGCATCCTTTGAAGCATTCCACAGAACATCAGTGTCGCTAAGCCCCAAAAACTCACCGAGGGAGAGATCCTGCCGCTCACGGCCACGGCCTAGACTCATCACACATCTCTCCGGGGTAAAGGGAAAGCAACCATCCTCACCTCCTCCTAGCGAACGAAACATTGAGGGCTCGCCATTGTAAAGGACCTTCCGAGATGGATCTATAACAACAATTCTAATCCCACCATCAAAACCGAGTGCTGAGCAAATCCGCTCACGCCGAGGAGAGTCCCAGAAAGGGACAGCATGGCAGGAAAAGCCTGACAAGAAGTTTTCATAGGCCGAGCGACAATGAGTGAAACCCTTCCTCATCATTGGCACCACCACCAACACAAAATCATCTCTCCTAGCAAGATCATGAGATGCTAAAGCTGTACGATAAACCAATTGTCCATCCTCTGAACACCATATCGAAGGCGCAAACACACAACAAATCATAACATGTTTACCCTCTACGTCTATGGTGCTTTCCATCTCAACACCACTTCTGAATTTGGGGGGCTGAATCCTTTGAACCTTACGACCAACATTAAAACCCCAACGCGCACCCGTACTCAGATGACGCGAACGTCTGGATTTGGTGGTGGGGTGAAAGCTGACAACTTTTTGGTTGAAACTCAAGAATTTATTTCCTATCAACTCTAAAACATTCAGTCGTTTGCCTAGCTCGGCTTTGGGCACACGTGCCAAGGATTGGGAATAAATTGGGCATTCGGCATCAAAATATGAGCCAATCTTGTGTTCCTTACTTAGGGCTTGTGGGTCAGGGCGGTCGAAAATATCCCCGCAGCCGGGGACACAGAACATAACCTTGATCTGTTTTAGTCGACACTCAGATACATTTGGAAAGCATGCCTTCTCTGCTAACAGCTTCTGCGTGCGATCTACACAACGAAATTGACACAAAAAAAAACAAATTTAATGAAATTGAACATGTGCCCAGTTATGCCACTCTCTGACTGTTTACACTAATAACCTGAAAATGCTTCATAAGATGTCGACAGGCGGCGACACTTTGAACTACTGGACTCTGACTTTAAGTCTGATCCTCCACACCCATCACTAGCAGAAAGCACATCTACATCCCTCTCGGCCTCCATTCCTTGATCTATTCGCAATTTGATTTCAGCCCCTGAAAATTTCATCAGAATAATTAAATTAAATTAAACTACTAAGCCATTAACTAAACTAGAAATCCAAGTAAACTATAGAATTATCATGCAAACCCTTCTTCATAAATGAACTGTAGTCATAGTGCCTCAAATATTGAAATCCGGCGTAATCAAATTCTCGACCAATCTCTTCACGCAGATTGCCATCGAAAGGAGGACCTCGACATTCCAAAATGTGAGAAGCATCCATAGATTGAATCACACCATCTTCACCAAACGCAACAACAGTCTCGTGTGGCCCACAGAGAGGATGGAAGTATTCATCACAAAGTTTAGCTGACTTTGATGGGTCTGCACGACATACCAGCCACCCCTTATCCATGAAGTATTGCTCACTAGTGCTGCTGCCATCTATGCTTACCGCAACCACCTCAACAACTTTTGAATGCTTTCTCTCAATATTCTTTTTATACCATAGAGCCAATTTATCCGCTAGGAAATTCTCCTTCTCTTTGTACAGATAAAGAACAACAATCTTGTTCTTAAGCCATTCTGTATTAATAATAAAGGTGCCGGAATTGGTAACAAGCGTGGCATACACACACATCCAAGGAAGTAGTAATGAGTTCAATCTCAGGCCCATTATCCTTTGAAATTCCTTCTCAACCAAATTCCTCCTGGTGAAGGGATAAGAGTCCACGCCGAAGTCACGCATGATTGGTAATCCATAGGGATCCACATACTTTCCTATGGGATCGACTATGAAAACACCTTCCCCGTGACTGTCAACTCCACACATTCGTCGTAGCCTATGGCATACGGTGTTGTCAAAGGGAAAAAACCACCAGCGTAGCAGCTTTTTGGAACTCTTAAGAGCACCCTTGATCAGCTCCTCATGCTCAACTGGGGGCACCTGCCTATCGAAGGGGCAACACACCACCACAATCTCAAGCTCATACTTTTTCTGTCTGCATTCCTCATCAACCTCCTGAACATTCCTTAAACTTGTACAATCAGAGCACAAGTAAATCCCCACAAACTTGTGGTTAAGCTCTGAAATAGTAATACAAGCATCTTCTGAAAAATTGTACAGGAGACCATCAGGGTCGCTACGGCCCAAAAGCTCACTAAGGGAGAGATCCTGCAGAACATAACAACTGCTTAAACAAATCTCCCTTCTCTCCGGAGTAAAGGGAAAGGCACCGTGTTCAGCTCCTCCAAACTCAAGAAACATGTTGGGTGGGCCATGGTAAAGGAGCTTCTGAGATGGATCTAGAATCACTACTTTAAGCTTACCATGAAATCTGAGTGCTGAGCAAATGTACTCACGCCGATCACAGTCATCAAAAGGGACAGCAAGGCAGGAAAAGCCCGACAAGAAGTGTTGATAGGCCGAGCAAGAATAATGGAAACCTTTCCTCATAATTGGCACCACCACCAGCATGAAATCATCTCTCTTAGTGAGCTCATGAGATGCTAAAGCCGTGTGATAAACCATGCGCCAATCATCTGAACACCATATCGTAGGCACAAACACACAACAAATCATAACGTATTTACCCTCTAGGTCTACGGTGCTTTTCACCTCAACACCGCCTCTGAAACTTGGGATGTTTTGGTTGAAACTCAAGAGGTTATCCCCTAGCAAATCCAAAACATTCATTTGTTTGCCTAACTCCGCATTGGGCAGATGTGTGAAGGTTCGGGAATCAGGTGGGAATTCCTTATCAAAAAGAGAGCCCATTTGACGTTCCTCACTTAGGGCATATTTGTCAGGGGAATCCCTGAAGTCGGAGCTGGAGACCAAGATAGAATCTTTGATCTCTTTTAGTCGACAGTCGGATACCTTTGGAAAGAATGCATTCTCTTTGGGTTTCCGTTCTACACAACAAAATCGAAACAAAGCAAATTTAATGAAATTGAACAAATACACAATTATGCCACTCTTCGATGGTTTAAATTAATAACCTGAAAATGCTTTATCAGATGTCCATCGGCGGAGACGCTTAGACATCCTGGGCTCTGACTTTGAGTCGACTGAAATTGCTTTATCAGATCTCCACCGGCGGAGACGCTTTGAACTACTGGACTCTGATTTGAAGTATGATCCTCCACACCCATCATTCGCAGCAAACACATGTACACCCATCTCCACCCCCTTTCTTCTTCGATTTATTTCCAATTTGATTTGATTTCAGACCCCCCCGAAACCCTAGCCTGACCTCTCTCTCTCTCTTATTCTCCTTCTCTCCTTGGGAGAATTTGATGATAACGCTGAGGATGCTTTGCTTTTTAAATACTCGAGTGGTTTTTTCAATTCTTTTCAATTTTTTTTTTAGTTTTTTTTAGTTTCTTCCAATCTTCTTCCAATTATTCTTCTTTTCTTCATTCAATTTCTACTCCTCAACCAATTACTCTAAAAATGTTATTTTTTTAATGTCATTATTATTATTATTATTATTATTATTATTACAGATGTTATGCTCATAACTATAGTTTATAAATTATTTTTTTCATCTCATTATTTTTACGATTCAAACTCATTATTTTTTCTTCAACTTTTTAATGAATAAGATGATTTTTTTGTATATTAATCTACACGCTAAAACAAAAAAATATCAATATTTTAAACTATATTTAAAAATTATGAATAAGATAGTTACATAGAATGCTTTATTAATCTAACTTTATATAAGGGGTTAAAGACCAAAATAGGAGTAAAATATTGATTAAATCCTAAAATAGGAGTTAAAAGATAAAATCCCCAAAATAGGAGTTATCAGATCCTCCGTGTGTGCTGCCGCCCGTTCGTGTTGCCCACCGCCTTGATCTATTTCGTCAACAAGCTGTGGGTCATGTATAATTAATTAGCTAGGCCAAAGTTTGGTCATTAAAATTTATTCAGCTCTATTTGTTGTTTGTGGTGGATGTTAGCAGCAACTTAAATTATTGGTGTTCGGCACTTATTGGATTGGTTTTGTTTTACTTTGTTTGTGCTCCAGGAAAGATGGTTTTCATGTTTAGATTGAGCCAGTTTTAATGACGTTTTGATACCAAACCGAATCTAATGCCAAATAAATGTATGATTTCAAACATGACACCACATAATATCATCCATGACAATATCTAATGCCAAAGAAATGCATAATGGCAAACATGCCACTATGACAATATATAATGCCACAAATGTCATACATTACAATATATAATGACACAAATGCACGCATATAATGCCACAATGTGAATTCACAAATGTCACAAGGCATGATACCAAACCAAATAATCTCATGCACTACTCGACATTTTGGTGACAAAATTCAAAGAAAATAAAATTCAATCAAAGATTGAGAGAAAACTTACTCACTTTTGAAATCAGGCTTCGATGGAGGGAGATCGAGGTGGAAAGACTAGGCATCGATGCAACGATGAATCTGAGAAAAGTGGGGGGCATGGTGGCGGCGGTTGAGTGACGGTGGCGGCAGGGGTGATTATAATCGATTAAAGAAAAGGGTGGGAGGTGGAAGGGAGATTTGAGA